GGGAAAGAGGAAATCCCACTTGAGGGGGGGAAGGGAAGGTCGAGAAGTCGACGATTCGCGGGGAAAAAAAACCCAATCTCAACATTTCGGTCTCGGGGAGGGTGGGGGGGAGGGGCGATGACGTCACCAGGCCTCTGACGTCATGGCCACGCCCCCTTCTCCTCTAGCTGACGTCACCCTGGACCCGGCCACCGCCCACCCCCGCCTCAGCCTCTCCCTGGACCGGCGCAGCGTGAGGCTCTCGGAGCGGCGCCCGGAGCCGCCGGAAAACCCCAAACGCGGCGACCTCGGGGGCGATTATTGCGTCCTGGGGGCCGAAGGTTTCACTTCCGGCCGCCATTACTGGGAGGTGGAAGTGGGAGGGAAGAGAGGTTGGGCCGTTGGGGCAGCCCGAGAAACGGGGAGGGGGAAGAAGGAGAAGAGCCCGGGGCCTCCAGAGAAGAGGGAGGTTTGGTGCGTTGGGACCAACGGGAAGAAGTACCAAGCGGTGACGGCGACGGAGCAAACGGCCTTGACCCCCAACGAGAGGCCCCGGCGTTTTGGGGTCTACCTGGACTATGAGAGGGGCCAACTGGGCTTCTACAACGCCGAGAGCATGAGCCACATCCACACCTTCAACGCCTCCTTCCACGAGAGGATCTTCCCCTTCTTCAGGATCTTGGCCAAGGGGACGCGCATCAAGATCTGCACCTGATGGTGGTTTCGGGGTGGCTGGGGTTGGGGGGGGTTTGTTTGGGGGGGCTCTGGAATCCTCCTGGATCTCAGGTTCTTGGGATCTGCTGCACTTGTTTTCTTGCACCTGCTTTTGCTCATCAGGCCTCCTCTTCATCCTCCTCTCCTGGGTCTACCTGGGTTTTCACCCGGTGGGAAGTTTGGAAGGGGGAAGGATCCACCTTGGAGGGTCCTTCTGGTTCCTTCTGCTCTGAGCTTCTCCCAGTTTATCCTGAAGCTTTTCTGGTGTCTTCTCCATCCGTGGTCGAGTTTTGAGGACTGGTTTGGTTGAGGAACATCTTGGCCAAGCCTTGAGGAACATCTTGGTTGAGGAACAACTCAGTTGAGGAACATCTCAACCAGGCCTTGAGGAACATCTTGCTTGAGTTCTGAGGAATGGTTTGGTTGAGGAACATCTTGACCAAGCCTTGAGGAACGTCTCTGAGGAACATCTCAACCAGGCTTTGAGGAACATCTTGGTTGAGGGAGCTTCTTGGCCAGGCCTTGAACATCTTGATTGAGGAACATCTTGGTTGAGGAACAGCTCAGTTGAGGAGCATCTTAACCAGGCTTTGAGGAACATCTTGGCCAAGCCTTGAGGAACATCTTGGTTGAGGAACATCTTGGTCAAGCCTTGAGGAACGTCTCTTCTGAGGAACATCTCAACCAGGCTTTGAGGAACATCTTGGTTGAGGAACCTCTTGGCCAAGGAGCTTCTTGGCCAGGCCTTGAACATCTTGATTGAGGAACATCTTGGCCAGGCCCTGAGGGACATCTCGGTCAAGGCTTGAGGGACATCTCAGCCAAGTTCTGAGGAACATCTCATTTGAGGAAGATCCTGGCCTGCCCTTGAGGAACATCTGAGCCCTTCTAGATGTTCCAGACTCAACCAAGACTTTGAGGAACATCTTGAGACTCAACCAACTTCGTTGTTGAGGAACATCTTGGCCAGGCCTTGAGGAACACCTGAACCTTTGCAGATGTTCGAGACTCAACCAAGACTTGGAGGAACATCAACCAACTTCATTGAGGAACATCTTGGCCAAGATGGAAGGAACATCTTGGCCAGGCCTTGAGGAACATCTCAAGGAACATCTCAAGGAACATCTCAGCTCTTTGGACACGAAGCTCAAGCTCCCCCCAGGATGTGAGGAAGCACTTTTGGCTTCTGGACACCTCCCACCATCATCATCATCATTCCCAAACCTCTTCCATCTCCCACCCCAGTGACTCCCAGATGGTGGCAACTCTTGGGAACTTCTCCTCCTTCATGGTTGGACCCAAACCCACCTCAACCCACCATCTTCTCCTTCCCCCCCCCCCGCCATTTTGTGGGAGGTTTTGGCTCCTCCCCCTTCCTCATTCCCACTGGTTTGGGGACCTGGCACTTTAACTGGGACCCGTGGCCACGTGTGTCCCCTCCCCCCACCCCCAGCTCCCTGGTGGTTTTTTTGGGGGGGGGAGAAAGTGCAAATATTTATTAATTAGTCTTTAATTAATTAATTTGGGATCATTAGGGAATTTCCAGCTGGATCCTCTTCCCCTCCCCCCCCCCCCAAAAAAAAGAGACTTTGCATTGTTTCGGGCCCTTCCCCTCCCCCCACGTTGGTCTTGACGGAGCGAGTTTGAAAAATTATTTTTTGGGGTAAAAAAAGAGGGAAAAAGGCAATTTAAAGAGATTTAAAAATACCCGAAAAAGGGGGAAAAAAGGAAATTTTAGTTTTATGAAAACGAGGAGTTAAAAAAAATTCAATAAAGGATGAAAAACAAGAAAAAGCAGCCAAAAAAAAAAGGAGAAAACGGAAAATTCGGAGTCGTTGGTTTGTTGAGGCCCTTGGGGGGAGGGGCTGGGAGGGAGTTAATTGGGGTTAATTAATGATGAGGGTGGGGGGTGATTAATTAATGAATGGGGTGGTGTTAATGGTGTGATGTTGATGTTGGGGTTGGTGGGGTCTCCAAGTCCCTCGTTGAGCAGGAGGTTGGAGAACATGAACCTCCAAGAGCCTCATGACCCAGAAGGTTGGAGATCAAGTTCCAGGTTCTTGACCCAAAAGGTTGAGGAACATCAACCTCCAAGTCCTTGGTTGACCCAGAAGATCAACCTCCAAGTCCTTCATGGACCCAGAAGGTTGGAGATCAATCTCCAAGACCCTCCTTCTCCAGGAGGTTGGAGAAGATCAATCCCTCATGACCCAGAAGGTTGGAGATCAACCTCTCAAGTCTTTCCTTGACTTGAGGAACGTCAACCTCCAAGAAGGTTGACCCAGAAGATCAACCTCCAAGTCCTTCATGGACCCAGAAGGTTGGAGATCAATCTCCAAGACCCTCCTTATCCAGGAGGTTGGAGAAGATCAATCTGCAATCCCTCATGACCCAGAAGGTTGGAGAAGATCCACCTCAAAATGCTTCATGGGCCCAGAAGGTTAGAGAAGATCGACCTCCAAGTCCTTGACCCAAAAGGTTGAGGAACATCAACCTCCAAGTCCTTTGTTGACCCAGAAGATCAACCTCCAAGTCCTTCATGGACCCAGAAGGTTAAAGATCAATCCCTCGTGGCCCAGAAGGTTGGAGATCAAGCTCCAAGTCCTTCCTTGACCCAGAAGGTTGAGGAACTTCAACCTCCAAGTCCTTTGTTGACCCAGATCAACCTCCAAGTCCATCATGGACCCAGAATGTTGGAGAACATCAATCCCTCATGACCCAGAAGGTTGGAGAAGATCAAGCTCCAAGTCCTTCCTTGACCCAGAAGGTTGAGGAACATCAACCTCCAAGTCCATCATGGACCCAGAAGATCAACCTCTCAAGTCTTTCCTTGACCCAAAAGGTTGAGGAACATCAACCTCCAAGTCCTTCCTTGACCCAGAAGGTTAAAGATCAATCCCTCATGACCCAGAAGGTTGGAGATTGACCTCTCAAGTCTTTCCTTGACCCAGAATGTTGAGGAACATCAACCTCCAAGTCCTTTGTTGACCCAGAAGGTTGGAGAAGATCGACCCCCCCAAGACCCTCCTTATCCAGGAGGCTGGAGAAGATCAATCCCTCATGACCCAGAAGGTTGAAGATCAATCTCTCAAGTCTTTCCTTGACCCAAAAGGTTGAGGAACATCAACCTCAAAGTCCTTTGTTGACCCAGAAGATCAAACTCCCAAGTCCTTCACGGACCCAGAAGGTTGGAGAAGATCAACCTCCAAGTCCTTGACCCAAAAGGTTGAGGAACATCAACCTCTCAAGTCTTTCCTTGACCCAAAAGGTTGAGGAACATCAACCTCCAAGTCCTTCCTTGACCCAGAAGACCAACCTCCAAGTCCTTCATGGACCCAGAAGGTTGGAGAACATCAACTTTTGAGTCCCTCATGACCCAGAACATCCTCCCAAGTCCCTCCTCCTGATCCACAACGACCTCCCCCCCCCATTCTCCTCCATGCTGAGTCTCTCCTGGTTGTCCCTGTCCCACCACGAAGGTGTGAGAACAACCTCAGGTGGGACACAAACCCCTCCCACACCCTCCAGAGACCTTGAGTTTGATCTTCACCTGCATCCAAGCTGGAGGAAACTCCCAAGCCCAGAAGTTCCATAGACCTGGGGATGCCCCAGGGATGGACACGAGTTCCATAAAACTCTTTTATTGATGGGGTTTTTTGGTACATGGAAAAAGTTTGGTGGCTTCTCCTTGTTGGGTCTTCAACGGGTGCCAATGGTCACCTGCCACACCCTGACCAGGTTGTCCGTGTACCCCGCGAACAGGGTCTGTGGGAAGAGGTGGAGATGGGGTTGGAGATGAGGTGGGAAGGGGTGGAGGTGGTGGGAAGGGGTGGAGATGGGGTTGGAGATGGTAGAGGTGGAGATGAGGTGGGAAGAGGTGGAGGTGGTGGGAAGGGGTGGAGATGGGGTTGGAGATGGGGTTGGAGATGGTAGAGGTGGAGATGAGGTGGGAAGAGGGGGAGATGGTGGGAAGAGGGGGAGATGGTGGGAAGAGGGGGAGATGGTGGGAAGAGGGGGAGATGGAAGGGTTGGAGATGGAAGGGTTGGAGATGGAAGGGTTGGAGATGGAAGGGTTGGAGATGGAAGGGTTGGAGATGGAAGGGTTGGAGATGGAAGGGTTGGAGATGGAAGGGTTGGAGATGGAAGGGTTGGAGATGGAAGGGTTGGAGATGGAAGGGTTGGAGATGGAAGGGTTGGAGATGAGGTAAGAAGAGGAGGAGATGGGGTTGGAGATGAGGTGGGAAGAGGGAGATGCAAGGGTTGGAGATGGTAGAGATGGAGATGAGGTGGGAAGAGGTGGAGATGGAAGTGAAGATGGTTGGAAGAAGTGGAAATGGAAGAGGTGAAGATGGTTGGAAGAGGAGGAGATGGGGTTGGAGATGGGGTGGGAAGAGGTGGAGATGGAAGGGTTGGAGATGATGGGAAGGGGTGGAGATGGAGGGAAGGGGTGGAGATGGAAGAGGAGATGGTGGGAGGAGGAGATGAGGTTGGAGATGGGGTGGGAAGAGGGAGATGGAAGAAGTGGAAATGGTTGGAAGAGGAGATGGTGGGAAGAGGTGGAGATGGAAGGGTTGGAGAGGTGGAGAGGGAGGGGGTGGGATGGAAGGGGGGGAAGAGGAGGAGATGAGGGGGGAAGAGGGGGAGATGGAAGGGTTGGGATGGAAGGGTGGGAAGAGGGGGAGATGGAAGAGGGGAAGATGGTGGGAAGAGGTGGAGATGGGGGTGGAGATGGTAGAGATGGAGATGAGGTAAGAAGAGGTGGAGATGGGGTTGGAGATGAGGTGGGAAGGGGTGGAGATGGTGGGAAGAGGGAGATGGGGTGGGAAGAGTGGAGATGGGAAGGGTTGGAGATGATGGGAAGGGGTGGAGATGGAGGGAAGAGGTGGAGATGGTGGGAAGGGGTGGAGATGGAAGAGGAGATGGTGGGAGGAGGAGATGAGGTTGGAGATGGGGTGGGAAGAGGGAGATGGAAGAAGTGGAAATGGTTGGAAGAGGTGGAGATGGAAGGGTGGGAAGAGGTGGAGATGGAAGAAGTGGAAATGGTTGAAAGAGGTGGAGATGGAAGGGTGGGAAGAGGTGGAGATGGTGGGAAGAGGGGGAGGTGGTGTGAAGAGGGGGAGGTGGGGTTGGAGATGGGGTGGGAAGAGGTGGAGATGGAAGAGGGGGAAATGGGGTGGGAAGAGGTGGAGAAACCACCCGGTGGGACCTCAGGGGAAGGGGCCTCAGGGGTCCCAAAGCACCAGCAGAGCTGGGTGTTGGGGGAGGTGGAGGGAGGAGAAGACCTTGGAGGGGTTGGGAAGGACCTTGGGTTGGGAAGGACCTTGGAGGGGTTGGGAAGAGGCCTCCAAGGTTGGGAAGGACCTTGGAGGGGTTGGGAAGGTCCTTGAAGGGTTGGCAAGGACCTGGGAGGGGTTGGGAAGGACCTTGGAGGATTGGGAAGAGGCCCCTAAGGTTGGGAAGGTCCTTGGAGAGGTTGGGAAGGTCCTTGGAGGGGTTGTGAAGGACCTTGGAGGGGTTGGGAAGGACTTTGGAGGGCTTGGGAAGGACCTTGGAGGGGTTGGGAAGGACCTTGGAGGGGTTGGGAAGGACCTTGGAGGGGTTGGGAAGAGGCCTCCAAGGTTGGGAAGGACCTTGGAGGGGTTGGGAAGGTCCTTGAAGGGTTGGCAAGGACCTGGGAGGGGTTGGGAAGGACCTTGGAGGATTGGGAAGAGGCCCCTAAGGTTGGGAAGGTCCTTGGAGAGGTTGGGAAGGTCCTTGGAGGGGTTGTGAAGGACCTTGGAGGGGTTGGGAAGGACTTTGGAGGGGTTGGGAAGAGGCCCCCAAGGTTGGGAAGGACCCAAGGGACTTGTTGGCTTTGCTGGCAGAGGTGGCTCCAGGAAGGGACAGGGGTGACTTCCTGGTCCCCTTCTGCTCCAAGAAGCTTCCCAAGGGCTGGAATGGGTGGGATGGGGACGTGGGGTTGGGTCTCACCTGCCCATCAGCAGACCAGGCCAAGGAGGTGCACTGGGGAGGTTCAGCTTTGCTGCTGGTGCTGATCACCTCCTGCTTCAGCTCGTCCACGATGATCTTCCCTTCCAGGTCCTGCAGAAGAGAAGAACCTTGAGAAGGAACCTTGGGGAGGAACCTTGGGGAGGAACCTTAGGGAGGAACCATGAGAAGGAATCCTGGGGAGGAACCTTGGGGAGGAACTTTGAGGAGGAACCTTGAGAAGGAACCTGGGGGAGGAACCTTGAGAAGGAACCTTGGGGAGGAACCTGGGGGAGGAACCTTGGGGAGGAACCTGGGGGAGGAACCTTGAGAAGGAACCTTGAGAGGGAACCTTGAGGAGGAACTTTGAGGAGGAACCTTGAGGAGGAACCTTGAGGAGGAACCTTGAGGAGGAACCTTGAGGAGGAACCTTGAGGAGGAACCTTGAGGAGGAACCTTGAGGAGGAACCTTGAGGAGGAACCTTGAGGAGGAACCTTGAGGAGGAACCT